TAAGCCGTAAACCCCCAAAACCCCTAAACCTCCTAAGCCCTAAACCCTAAACCCTAAACCCTCTAAACCTCCTAAACCCCCAAACCCTAAACCTTAAACCCTAAACCCTAAACCCCCAAATCCCGCACCAACTGAGAGCCTGCTTTCTAGGTCCCCGAATCCTTCCAGTGCAGGATCTCTACTCAAGGGCGTTTAGGGTTTAGGGGTCCGGAGGGAGGAATTTCGTGCCCTAAGCCCTGAACATTAAACTGTAAGGCCTAAAACCCTAAAGCCTTAAAGCCCGAAAGCCCGAAAGCCCGAAAGGATAAACAAGCCTAGAAGTCTAAACCCGAAACCCTAAACCCTAAACCCTAAACCCTAAGCCCGAAATTCCCCGAGAACCCATATTTTCTCGAAGAAAGGGCCCGAAACGATACCCACCGAACCCCAGGCCCGAGCCTCCTGACCCCGAAGCGCTGAAAGGGTTTTTAAGGTTTAGGATTTAGGGTTTAGAATTTAAGGGTTTAGGATTTAGGGTTTAGGGTTTAGGATTTAGGATTTAGGGTTTAGGATTTAGGGTTTAGGATTTAGGATTTTAAGGGTTTAGGGTTAAAGGTTTAGGGTTAGGGTTAAGAGTTAAGGGTTTAAAGGGCAGACCGGGCTGGGCAGGGCTGGGCAGGGCTGGGTGGGGCAGAAATGGGCAGGGCAGAGGCCAGGCAGGCGGGCAGGGCGGGAAGGCTCAGCCCGGAATTCTCTCGGCCTTCTTGAAAGGTCCCATCTTGAAGGAGTCCAGGATTGTAGGCTACTGACTTTGGGACTGTTTTGGCACTGGGTACGACGTCGGTGCGGGCTGGCGCCCACCCCGAATAGGTGGGTGGCCTATGCCAAGTAGTGAGTGGTACGATTCCCTATGGTGATTAGGTCACTTCTGTTCCAGGTTAAACCCCAAACCCTAAACCCTAACCCTCGTCCTTAGCGAATGGCCTTTTGAAGGATTCCTTTCTCAGAATTCCTTAGATTCTTAGGGTCGCTAGCAAGGCCCGGCGGGAAGGACTCCGGTTTGTAGATAACAGCAGCTTTCTCCCAGAATCCCCTTATATATATATATGTTTTACCGCGAAACCTTGTTCTAATTACATAGACCCTATGTTAGCAGGACGGACAACATCACATCAGATTGAGTCTAAGGCTGGAAGTATGGGCCCCTAATATGGACCCTTAGGCCTTTCTAGGGACCCTTAGGGGTACATATAGGGTATATAGTAGGTGTAGAATGATCCCAGGGTTAAGGGCCCATACTAGGGGCCCATGGTTTCAACCTTAGATTGAAGCACCCGGCAGTATCAAGCCCCGAGTGATGGACCAGGCCGCTATGACTTCGTATACCTTCCCTTCGATTTCCGTCGCGATGCGTGCTTCGCCAGCAAGAAGTCCGAATTCTTCCCGGTTTTGTGGCCCTAGACATTCTGGGAAGGAATCACAACTGCTGCGCCGATTCATTGAGAGCCTTGAGACGATGCCACTTGCAACGTTTGTTTGGTTTTAATTTCCGATTGCTGCAGAAATCGTTAAATCCTGAACCGGGGAAGCAGCGGCAGACAATGGGTGTAGGGGAAGGAATGGGATGGTGCTCCCCGCATTCTTGTATGTGTATTTGTTGTTGCGGTTGCTGTTTTGATTGGGTTTTGGCTCATGTTTTTTGCTGTGTTTGCAGAGGATGCTTGCGATGACAATGATCATTTTCTTCCTTGTTGTAGTTTGTTTAGATGTGTTTGCAGTGTTCTGCCTCCGGCCGCCATGAGTATCGCAATGATGTTCATCTTGTTATACCGAGCATACTATTGAACCCCCAATGATTACCAATACTTTTCTTGGGGATCCTTATTTTTTAAAATACTATAAAGGAGCCCAAAACCCTAAAACCTAAACCCTAAACCCTATTCTAATTATTAAGGCCCCTACACTAGGCACAGGGCCCAAGGAGAGTCTGGATTCAAGTGTTGAGCGCTTGGGGCCATTTAATTTAGGGTTTCAGAGTTTAGGGTTTAGGGTTTAGGGTTTAGGGGCTTTGAGTTTGGAGTTTGGGGGTTTAGGGGTTTGAGGTTTACGGCAGCATTGTATATGCACTGCTGAGCACGCCGCCAGAACCGCCAAAAACCGAACCTATCAATCCGAATACACATCCTCAGAGAGCCCAATACCCCTGAATTGAGGAATATACCTTATTATTACTAAGTCCCCTATAACTTAGGGTATATGCCTAAATTAACGGGTATTGGCCTTAAACTCCGCACCCCAATCCCGAAACTCTCAGCTGGAAGCGCTACAAACCCAACTCGCAGCATCTAGAGCTCCAGGTACCAGTTTATGCCAATCCGCTAGGGTTTAGGGTTTAGAGGTTTAGGGGGTTTAGGGTTTAGGGCCTTAGGGTTTAGGGGTTTAGGGTTTAGCAAAGCTACTTACTTCACAGGCATGGCAGACTACTTCCGTCTGTTTCAACGAAACATGTGTGAAGATGGGTGTTGTTCAGGGTCATTATCTGCCGATGACATCCTTTGCTACCCGATGCCCTGAATCCACAAATCCGAGTTCGAAAAAATCTCGATATCCATTGTCCGTACCCCTACACTCAAACTCCAAAGCCCTCAAGCCACATGAACAAAATCCATAGAGTCCTGATACTGAATACCCCCAAATAAGGCCCAGTGGGCAGACCCTGAATACGTAGATCCCACCGGCGGCCTAGTTCCCAGGAACCTTGGTTATGCCTTCGTGAACATGGTAGATGCGGAGGCTGGTCTCTCAAAATCCTCAGGGGTTTCCATAAGATCAAAGCCCGAATAAACCCTAAACTAAACCCCCTAAACCCCCTAAACGCCCTAACCCCCCTAAACCCTAAACCTTTAAGGCTCTTTGTAGTACGGGTCTAGAGAAAGTTAGATCATGGATTAGGAAGGATTATAGTAAGGACGTGGTAAACGTAAGATCTGATTCGATACTGTTGATGATATAAATCCTGCATTTCTTTAAGGACCCCACAGACTGTGGGAATTATGGTATATTCCTTGTTATCGGTAGTGCAGGATTTATGTCATCAACCGTAGCTCTCAGCCCTGAGAATATACTAGGACCCATGTTTAGGAGCCCTGGCTAGAGCCAGGGATGTCTTGATCAGGTGCTCTTGTCAGGAGTTTAGAGCTTACAGTAGTGCTTGGGATTGAAGATTTCAGTTTTCTGTATCTACTGTTCAGTGGTCCGGTTTGGCGAACCAGGGTCATTGTAGTCACAGTTGTTCCGCATTTGGCAGCCCAACGCGCTAAGCCCAACAGAGACCCTTTTCCGTAGTGAAAATCTACACTGTCCCAGCCCCAAAACGTTCAAGCCTTAAATGCCCCTAAACCCCCAAACCCCTAAGCCCTAAACCCGAACCCCTAAACCCCAAAAACCCAGAACCCCAAGCTCTTACTTCTCACTTGAGGCTGCTGACGCTCTCTGGAAGGGGCTGGAAGGCTTTACGGCTTGGGCGCTGACGTCGCACAAAGTGGCTTTGACATCTTTATAGACAAGGGTTTTAGGGTTTAGGGTTTAGGGTTTATAGACAGCCCTAAACCCGAAGCACTAAAACCCTGCTTTAAGCACTAAGCCCCTAAAGCCGCAACCCAAAAAGCTCTCGACCGTTATTCTCTAAACCGTAAACCCTAAATACTGAACCCCTAAAGCCCTAAACTCAAACCCTAAACCCAAAAACCCTAAACCTCAACCCTGGAGTCGTCTGGATTGCGTTTTTTTTTTTCACTCTTCTTCTGGTTGTCGAAGGGAAGCCAAGAGCTCGATATCCTGAGTACCTCAACACTATAGGATCCTTAGGGGAGGGTTTAGGGTTTAGGG